TCAAACCAAAAATGTTCTTTTATGATTGTTTCGCATCGACGATGCCCTACGTGTCCTATATCATCGTGATATTTCCTCAAAATATTAAAACGGGCTGATTTTGTTGTCGCAATTTTGTGATTTTAGTTTATTTATGATTAATTTTATTGCAGGGTCTTGAAGTTGAATACTCAAGATCCAGTCATCAATATTATTAATAACAAGAACGTTGCGACTTAATGCGTCAACATGTTTCATTTTGTCTCCTGGCCTGTGTTTTACTGTAAGGTTAAAATCCTGGACACTAAGCCACCATCGCGCAATTCGAGGTAGTAGGTCCTTTTTTGTAAAGGTTGATCGAACAGCAGAACAATCTGTGACTACTGTAAAATTGATTCCAGTTAGGTATACTTTGAATCTTTTTATTGATTCTACTACTGCAAGTGTTTCTATCTCATATGAATGAAAATTAGATTCTTCTCTACTAGTAGCTCTGCTGTAGTACATAACAGGCTTGAATTCATTATCGTGTTTTTGTAATAATATTCCCGCAATACCCTTACTACTAGCGTCCGTGTGTAATTCTGTTTCACGATGTGGATCAAAGATGCATAATAAAGGTCTAGAGGTTAGACATTTTTTTATTTTGTTAAAGGCTGCATCTTGTTCCGTTGACCATCTCCATGGAGTATTTTTGCGCAATAGTTTACTTAAGGGTTCAACTATTAGAGCATGATCTTTTATAAATTTTCTGAAATATGATGTTAATCCCAGAAATTGTCTCAACTGATGTAAAGTTTTAGGTGTTGGAAAATTTAACTGCTAACTGCTGAGATTTTAAGGGTTCCCGGTCGAATACCTTTTTCGCTAACTTCATATCCCAAATAATCAATATTTGTTTCAAAAAAATAACATTTTTCAATATTCAATTTTAAGTTAGCCGATTGGAGTATTTTAAAAACTTTTTCTAATGTAACTAATCCTTCTGAGATTGTGTCAGATGGAATTAGCATGTCGTCTAAGTATATAACTACTTTATCATTCGGTAGCGACGCGAATAAATTGTTGAGTGCCCTCTGGAAGGTGGACGGTGCGTTAGTTAAGCCAAAAGGCATTCTTAAAAATTCATACTGACCATCTTGTGTAACAAAAGCTGTTTTATTGACTGATTTAGCGGAAACGGGAATTTGATAATATCCCTGCGTCATATCCAAACTGCAGAAAAACTTTTTTCCTTTTAAGCGACCTATTTGATCTTCGATATGAGGTAGTGGGTATCTATCTTTAGTGGTTATTGAATTTAGTTTCCTATAATCTACGCATAATCGATAATCTCCATTTTTCTTTTTTACCAATACTGCTGGGCTAGCAAAATTTGACTTTGACGCTTGGATGATGTTATTTTCTAACAAATCTGTAACTATTGCACGTATAATCGAACGTTCATGCTCGGAGTAACGGTATGGACGGTAGAATATAGGTTCCGACTTTTCTAAATTAATTTCAAATTCAATAATATCGGTACCACCTAATTCGGAGGTATTCGTCGCAAAACAATTTTCGAATTTGTGCAACATGTGAAAAAACGCGGATAGATGAGGCTCTTTTATAACGTCCAAGTTAACTTTAACGTGATCATTAGTTAATAGCAAAACATTTTTGGCACTCGGTTGGTCGTCTTTTTGTAAAATGGAACTAGAATGTTCAATGGCTCTAGAAAGGATACGTCCTTTCTCCCAACAAATACTTTTAGGGCCGGTATTAGTGACATTAACATAACCATTTTTTGAGTCGAATATTGTGGTAAAAAAATTATAGTGTTCTATATTTTCGTTGCTCTTAGAACCAAGTATTAAACACTGATTTGGTACAAAATTTTCGATCCGAACAGGCACTACCGCTGTTTCTCGTGCGGGAATAAATACGTTTTTGTCTACGACGACAGGGAATTTAGTTGATGCACCCATTTTTTTGAGTGTAATATTTCTGCCGCAAATTTTTAGCGATATATTTTCATCATTGATAATTGGTTGCCCAATTATAGCTTCAATGTCACCGATATTAGCGTCAACAAAGTGCGCGTTCGAATTTGTAGAAAACTTATTGAAATCAAATGTAATGCAGGCCATTCCTTTTGGAACAATTGTTTCATTTCCGATTCCTTTAATCACGATTTTGGAAGGTTTGAGTTTTAAATTTAATTTAGGTAACAGCGAAGAATGGACTACATTTATTTGACTCCCTGTATCTAAAAACCCTCGGCATGCAATATTATTAATTTTTATAGGTATTTTATAAATATCATTATCAACTTGCCTTTGTAGGAGATGAACCTTGCGGGGGTTTAGATACCAGCAGTTTTCTCGTTCGTGCCCTAATTTACCGCAGTGGGAACATTTCTTCGTAGTCCTCGTTTTTTCGTGATTTTCCTGTGGAGACTTGAAGAAACAGTTCCTGGCGACGTGTCCAGGTTTTTTGCAAATTTCGCACTTTGGTAGACTTTTGGTCAATTCGCTTGTTTTCGGCACGGATCCATCGATTTTGCAAAGAAGTCTTTTGTACAGTTCTTCAGGCGTTCTGAAATTACCAGATTTTGCGGTACCTTGGTATTCGATGGGAAGCCCGTCGATGATGCACGATACGGCGTTGTTGTCGGAAATCTCACATTTGCGAATCAGACTACATTTTGAGTAGTAATAATGCATCATACTTTCATTAGCCTGCTTTTTCCTTTGCATCATTTTCTTCACATTGTCCACAAAATACTCGTGAGACGGAAAGGCTTCCAGAAGCGATTTCTTCCAGTCGTGCCATGATTTATCGTACTCTTGTAGTCCATTGTACCATATTCTAGCAATTCCAGCGAGTTTTGCTTGCATGTAAAAAGATTTCGTTTCATCGCTCCAACCGTGGATGAGACCTAGTTGGTCGATTTTATTCAACCATCCACTGGATGTCACCTCACTGGATTCCGGTTCGAACGGCGGGACAATATCGGCGTTTTTGTTGTTAAGTTGTGTGAGAATGTTAGGGTCGGTCGTTGGTCGTACTTTCCCTAAAATTTCTTCCACCTTTTTAGCAATAATTTCTTCAATCCTTCTTTTCTTAGCTCCTCTTTCATTTATTTCCGTGTCAGACTCAGAATTTTCCGATTCCGGGTTATCCGTCACTGATTTTTCAGCAATTTGCTTGGGATTGCGTTTTTGTGACCGTTTACTTGGCACACTGTCTTCTTCAATTTCACTGTCCATTTTTACACTTAATTAACTAATCACTAAACACGGGTAATCCCACTTCTGAATTGTTCCGGATTTAACAAATAAAACAATATCTTGTATATAAATTTTATTGTTTGTTCACCCGACGAGTACAAGATCTAATGCCGAACTGGCCTCTC